ATATATATTGTTCAAGAAGGCGGCGCAGCCGCCTAGGTGGGCGTCTAAATACCTAGGCATCCCTAAGGGAAGGGGATTTAGGGTAAGGGCCATATATTGTTTTGTGATCTATGTGCATGCGCATGTATGTGTGTGCGTGAGATCTCGTATGAACTTTTAAAAGATCATCCTCTTTTTCTTTTTTTCTATTGAATCTGTATTTGTGAGAGAGAGGTCTCGAATGTGCGGGGGATATGTCGAGAGAGAGGAACCTCTTATCGAACTTTGTTCTTTATTTTCTTTACATGTAAAAAGGGAGTATATGGGTCCATGTGTACTTTTGTGTGTGTGTGTGAGCGAAAGAGAGGCTACACATCAAACACTTGGAGTTCATTTTTTTCTTTTCATGTATAAACATAGCACATGGATCCGAGAGAGAGATAGAGAGGCAATATCTAATCTTATTTTTATTTGGGGGATTTTTTTTAAAAAAAAAATTTAGAGTGCGCTAGGTGGGCGTCTACTTGACCACTTAGACTCCCACCTTGGGCATGCCCGCCATGACGCACCGCGTATGCAAGGCGGCCTAATTTTTGTTCATTGATCATTTAAAGTCGTACAAGCCAAAACCAATGCTTCAGTTTGTGGTTGCCACAAATGGATGCCCTGTTGAATGAGTTTTCAATTTTTTTGTAATAGGTAGAAAGACAAAACAAATCCGACTTCTAGATTATCAAATTTATCGGATGAAATTTCATACATTAAAGTTTGGAATTGTATACTAGAAGATCATTTACTTTAGATTATCAAATTCATAGGATGAAATTTCATGCATTTAAGTTTGGAAATGTATAAAAATGAGGTTTGAAAATCCTTTTTTAAAAAATTTATGAACGAAACTGTCAATCCGTAAAATTTCAAATCCAAAATCCATCTCTAAGATGACTTTTTGAAAGGGGAGTGCATTTGAACTGTTTGCTGCCCGCCAAAGATAACCAAAGTATAGATGTTCTTCAAGATGGACAGTCCAAAAGGGAGTTCAACTAAAAGAGATAGCATATTGGGAAACCATTTATCTTTATTACAAAGAGTCACAATTGCTACAATCCATTAGATATCAAATTGGATAGTTTTGGATGCGGCATAAAGTTAGAAAATTTTATTGAGCTTTGAGTTTAGTTAACAATACACTCACAACTACCCAATTTGAAATCTGACGGATAATAGCATTATGACCTCATTGTATTAAAAGAAAATAGTCTCTTTGTAGAGTTTTCCAACTAAAATCTACAATTAATGTCAAAAAATATTCAACTCATTCGAGAATATACTATCTATTTACTCCCTCGGGTAGAACTTCACTAGGACTTGTTTTTGGACCTTGAATTTTGGGGACACAATCTCTTCAACACATACATTGATCTCAACAAAAAAAATTTCCTAATTACGCCTTCTAAGCACTTAATAATAATAATAATAATGTCTCAAGATTGGATATAAACCATTCATTTTTTAGAAGATGTGACTTAAGTATTAGAAAACTCAATTTTTTATTATTATTATTTTGAATAATCATCTTATAATTTTTAAGCCGTTGCCAAAATTTCAAATCGAAAAAAATCTCCCAAGGTCTTTTGACTAAGGGAGTAGAAGCAAACAATGCTCCTCAAGGACCACATTATACATGCTCATAAGAAATTTCTATTTTTTAAAGGGTGCAGTTTCTATAAGGTCGCAACCTTAAACAATCCAATTAAGGTGCACCTCCAAATTTTATCATAACGTGTAATTTTGATATAAAATTTTTTTAGGATTATATAAAAATTTATTTTTATATTTAATTATAAAATTTTAAATTCTAAAAATTATTAAAATTAAATAGATCCATAAATATATAAAAATTTTAGATAACGTGTTTCAAGTTGCACTATTTTCAGAATTCAAAATCTTTTATCTTTTTATATCCATCTATATTAAGATGTTCAATTAAAAAGGTTTTTTAATATTAAAATAATTTTTTTAGATGGATTTTTTAAGTGCATCAGTCAACTTTACATAAAAAAATTTTAAAAAAATAATAAATTTTAAATTTTCATTAAAAATCTGAAATTTTTTACAATTTAAGTCTCAAATTTATCTCATTTCCCTAAAATTTGAATCCAAGATCCATAAAATTTGAAAACGGAGGAATGAGGTGACTCATGCTTCGGTGGAAGAAGAAAGATAAGGA